GCCCCCGCTGCTCGAGACTTTCCTGCATATTCAAGCCTGAGGAGCTCCGGAGTGACGACACTTACAGGTCCCAGCTCAGATTCGCGCATGGATTCGGGGACCCCATAGGGAGGGGCTCCCGTTCGCGACTCCCTCGCGATTCGTTCACAGGCGTCGTCTTGTTCGAGACGTCCTGCAGATTCAGGCCTGAGGAACCCAAAAGTTTCAGATAACCCGCTCGGGTTCGAATCTGGACGCGGGGACCCCATAGGGGGGCATTCCCGTTCGAGACTTCCTTGCGATTCAGTCAAAGACGACGCCTCCGATCGAGATTTTCTCGAGGTTCAAGCCTTTGGAAGCCAATCGTGACGACACTTACACGTTTGAGGGAAACACAACGGGATTTAAAACGTAAGGTGCGGGCCCCATAGGGAGGACCCCCCGCGTGAATATATTTCGCGTGTCGCTCACAATCGAGGCTCTCGTTTTGGGTTTCATCCATATTCAAGGGTGAGGAGCCCAACCATGACGACATTTAACAAGTTCGAGGATGACCCCGTGCGATTGAAAACGTGAGCTGCGCGGCCCATATGGAGGGGCTCCCGCCTGAGACTTCCTTGCAATTCGCTTACAGAAAGGGGCCCCCTGTTTGAAACAAATCTGGGGAGCCCAAGCGTGACGACAATGAGAACTTTGAGTATGACCAACTGGATATGAATATATGAAACGCGGGACCCTTAAGGAAAAACCTTCCGTTTGTGCTTCCTTCGGAATTTACTGATCGGCGAGGCTCCCGCTAGAAACGTCTTCCATGTTCAGGCCAGCTGATCCCACAAACGACGGCATTTACAAGTTCTAAGATGGCCCGCTAGGGTTGGAACATGAAATACAGGTCCCACGGGGAGTGGGCTCACCCCTGCGATTTCCGTGCAGTCACTCACATACGAAGCTCCCGCGGGATACGATATTCACGCTTGAGGAACCCCACACAGTACGACGGTTACAAGTTTGAGGGTGACGCGCTGGGATAGAAACGCCGAGTGTGGGCCCCATATGGAGGAATACCCAAATCCTGTTTGAGACTTCCTCCATACTCAGGCCTGAATTGCCCAAGAGCGACGGCAAGTACATGTTTGAAAGCGACCCGCGGGTATTGAACACGTGAGGTACGGGACGCATGGCGACGCATGGGGACGGGCCTCCCTCCTGATTTTCCGTTGCAATCCACCGACGGGACTCCCGCGTGAGACCTCACTATCAATGTGTGCGTGTGCGGGGGCGAAGGGGAGAAAGGGAACGAGACGGAGAGAGATATACCGAGAGAGAGAGAGAGGGAGAGAGACAGAGGGAATAAGCGAGAGAGAGAGAGGTATTGAGGATCGAGAGAGATATGGAGAGGGATAGTGAAGGGATGTGTGCAGTACAACTGATGCTGGTGATGAGGATGGTGCGGATGATGGTGGTGGTGAGGATGACGACAAATCAGAGGTGACCACAATAGGGTGGTCAACGAGATGGTGATGTTGGGGTTGGTGTGACAACGTTGATAATGATAATGGTGTTGATGATGGTGATGGTGATGATTCTGATGACGAGAATGATAGTGGTGATGAGTGATTAATGGTAGTGGTGGGTGAGAAAACGGTTGATTGAGCGAATGGGTGAGTGAGTAGTGAGTGAGTGAGTCGAGTACGGATCAGGATGGGGATGAGAAAGCGGGAGGGGAGGGAGGAGGAGGAGTACGATGAGATCTTGCGCGAGGGGTGCGCAGAGCAGACAAGAACACAATTTTTGGATGCGGGGGAACATGGGGTGCTGGCCACATTGGGAGGGGGCTCCCGCTTGGAACTCACTTGCAATTTACTCACAGACGAGGCTCCCGCCTGATACCTTCCCCACATTTAGGCTTCAGGAGCCCAGGGTATGTACATATACATATATATATATATGTGTATATGTATATTCAATGATGTTAGTAACACGATTCGTAATACTGATATTAATTAAACGTGATGTGCGGTCCCCATGGGGACAGGCCACACGCCTAAGGCTTCGTTGCCATTCGCTCACAGACGAGGCTCCCGCCTGGCCTTCCCAAACATCAGGTCTCAGGAGCCCAAGCGCGATGGCAGTTACAGGTTCGACGACGGCCCGCCCGGATTTTCTTCAAGGGGGGGGGGTCTCCCGCCCGAGACTCATGCTTCTTTCACGTTCAGGTTTAAGGAGCCCAAGCGTGACGACAGTTACAGGTTTGACGATGACCCGCTCGACTGAAAAATATGAAGTGCGGGCCCCATGGGGGGCGGGGGTGGGCTCCCGATTGGGATTTTCTCAATTTACTCACAGATGAGGTTCCCGTTCGAGACGTTCTCAAGATGAGTGTGTGCGTGTGTGAGTGATGACGATGATGGTGGTCATGATTGTGACGACTGTGATGTTGCTGCTGGTGCAGTGATGGCGGGTGTGAAACATGGTGTGGTAGTAGTGATGATGATCGACAGCAATGATGGGATGATGGTTGTGCTGACTGGTGGTGGTGATGTAATGATGATGGCGAGGGTCGTGGCGAGTGTGAAAGCAGTCGAGTAGTGATGATGGTGGTGATGGTGATGAGCACATTGGGTGCTAGCAATGGTAGTGTGCATTGGTGTGATGGTGATGGTAATGAGGATCATGAGGATGGTGACTCGGATGGTGACTGTGATGGTGATGATGAATGATATCGTTGTCATGCTGATGCTGATTATGATGTTGATGATGACGTTGATGATGATGATGATGATGATGATGATGATGCTGGTGATGACGATGATGATGATGATGATGATGATGATGATGATGATGATGGTGATGGCGATGGTGATGGCGATGGTGATGAAGAGACGGGATGATGAGGAGGAGGAGGAGATCGCGGGGTGTGTGCAGAGAGATCAAGACGCCGTTTGGATGTGGTGAATGATGTCTGCGATCTGATGATGATTGTGAGAAGGAGGACAAGGGGTGAGTTCCTGCGCTGGAGGTGTCCATAGAAAACAAGAACCCCACACTGGATGCAGGGGGGAACAATGTCAAGAGATCGCGGTGCGCGCGAACATGATCCAGTGCCTCTTGTACTGTTGGGTTGTTATTTGTTGACAGGGATGGTGTGCTAGGTCGGCATCGGCCCTGGTTAGGGGCCGGTCGAGTGGCGGTGGGGGTGGCTATCAATAAGGAGCAGTCGTTAAGGTATTCCCCCGAAGGACGGCCGTCTCGTTCACCGCCACACTTTTTTGATTCGCGGGTCGAAAGCGCACCTCTTCCGGTCGAAGCTAAGCGGGCCGCGCGAAGCTTGAATTAATTGTCCCGGCAAAGCAACCTAACAGCCATGTGTAGGAGCATCTCTGGGTCGAACAGCATCTCTGGGTCGAACAGCATCTCGCATCTACTACGCAGGCTCCTCCTCCTCCTCCTGGTGGTCCTCGTTCTCCTCCTCCTGGTGCTCTCCCCCCCCTCCTCCTCCTCGTCCTCCTCCTCCTCCTCCTCGTCCTCCTCCTCCTCTTCCTCCTCCTCCTCCTCCTCCCTCCTCCTCCTCCTCCTCTCCCCTCCTCCTCCTCCTCCTCCTCTGGTAGTCCTCCCCCTCCCCTCCTCCTCCCTCCTCCTCCTCTCCTCCTCTTCCTGGTCGCCCTCGTTCTCGTCCTCCTCGTCTTGCTCGTCCTCCTCCTCCTGGTGTTCTCTCCTCCTCCTCCTCCTCCTCCTCCTCCTCCTCCTCCTCCTCCTCCTGGTGGTCCTCGTTCTCCTCCTCCTGGTGCTCTCCCCCCCCCTCCTCCTCCTCCCTCCTCCTCCTCCTCGTCCTCCTCCTCCTCTTCCTCCTCCTCCTCCTCCTCCTCCTGGTAGTCCTCCCCCTCCCCTCCTCCTCCTCCTCCTCCTCTTCCTGGTCGTCCTCCTCCTCCTGGTCGTCCTCCTCCTCCTGCTCGTCCTCCTCCTCCTCCTGCTCGTCCTTTTTCTCCTGCTCCTCCTGCTCCTCGTCCTGCTCCTGCTCGTCCTCGTCCTCCTGGTCTTGCTCGTCCTCCTCCTCGTCGTGCTCTTGCCCCTGCTGAAAATGTGGCCCAGGAATGGGAGTTCTAGGAAGTCGAAGAGCACGGAGTTGCCTACAGTTGGCTACGAGCATTCAAAATGTGGCCCGGGAGTGGAGTTTTGGGAATTCGAAGATCACGAAGTGGCCCACAGTTGGCTCCGGGCACCCAAAATGTGGCCCGGGAAGGGAGTTCTGGGAACTCGAAGAGCACGAAGTGGCCTACACTTGGCTCCGGGTATTCAAAATGTGGCCCGGGAATGGAGTTCCGGGGACTCGAAGACCACGAAGTGGCCTACAGTTGGCTCCGGGCATTCAAAATGTGGCCCGGGAATGGAGTTCTGGGAAGTCGAAGAGCACGAAGTGGCCTACAGTTGGCTCCGGGCATTCAGAATGTGGCCCGGGAATGGAGTTCTGGGAGGTCGAAGAGCACGAAATGTGTGACTGTTGGCTTAAAACGACTTCTGCGGCACCCTGTCCGGCACCCGCCCAGACCCCCCTGTGGAGTCATCAGCTGCTCTCTTTTGACACCATTAGAAACCTATCAGAACAAGCTGTTAGGTAACAAAGAGGGGGGGACATCGTTCACCGCCACACGCTCTCCAGCCACACAGTCAACACTTGGGTCTCAGCATTGGCGCGGGTCGCCGTTGGATGGACAGCCGGTCGGAACCAGCACACACGCCGGGTGCGTGGCGCTCGCCGGGGGCGCCGCGCGTGCAGGCGTGCGCCATCCGCATCAGATGCCAGGCGCCCGAGGGACCCAATCGCTCAAGGCGAGGGTAGCTCATCCTCCCGGGGGGGGGGTCGGGAAGAAGCAGCTCCTCCTCCTCCTCCTCCTCCTCCTTCTCCTCCTCCCCCTTCTCCTCCATAGGCTGGAGGCGACCATGGCCTAACTGGGACCAGGCGCCCGAACCAGACAGCGACGACGACAACTACCACCATTCTGATGCTGCACCATCTCAAGGCAATGTCGGCCAGGCCCATCCACAAGCACAACCACAGGCTGGGCAGGCCCCCGCCGAAGGAGCCCAACAGCACCGTGGGGCCCAGCCAGGAGTGGAAGGGGGCAGCAGCTTCTACCAGGACAACACCAGCTACGACGATGGCCCACGTGGTGGGGCTGAAAGAGCTGAACCTGAAGGAGGAGATCTCGGGGCAGGTGGAGCCAACGGGGGAGAAGAAGATCAGTCAGCCAGCCCATCGTCGCCCTGGCCATCGAGATCATCGACGGAGAGCCCCACTGGTGACAGGTGGAGCTCAGACAGCAGCGCAGGCAACAGGAGGGCAAGGCCAGAAGTCTCTGCCAGCCAGGCAGGGACCGCCGAGGAAGCAGCAGCGATGGACATGCCGACGCTCGGGGCACAACAAGTTGACCAGGCCCAAGCCGAAACTGTACCAGGAGCCGAACACATACGCCGAAGAGCCAATGGGCATACCTGGCGAAGGGATACAGCAGGCGGGCGCAGCCGACCCGAGGAGGATGAAGACTTGCAGCTCATGCAGACCGCCGTGGGGCCAGCGGGCCACACCGACAGGGCTCCCCCAACAGTATTCAAGCCTGCGCACCAGCGTGAGGTGCAATATCAAGGCCTCCAGCACGGAGCAGCCCAGACAGACCAGCCGCCCGTGGAGGCGCAGGAGCCAGCCAGCACCAAGGCCGACACGCGCGGGAATGCGACCAAGCGTCCCGCGCAGAGGCCTACAGGCAAACCACAGTGTAAGGCGCGCCGCCCAGCGGGTCCCGACGCCAGCCCAGACGCGCAGGCCGCGACAGGGTCCCCAGCGGCCAGAGAGGCCATGGCAGCTGCTGCAGCCCGCCGAGAAGCCAGGCTCAAGGAAATACTCAGCAGGAGTACGCGCAGCCACGTGGACGACAGCATCGAGCTCGTCCAGAATGAGCTCCACGTCGTTGCGGACCACGCCATCGTCACCAAGTCCCCCTTCATCAAGAATGACCGCCCAGGACAGTCCTCGGCCAGTACCTGCACCCGCACGGTGCCTTCAGGGCGCAGGGACCGCCTCGATGAGCTCACGACGACCATCGGCCTGATCGGAGCTGAATGGGTGCCCCGCGAGTTCCTGCAGAACGAGGAACTGGATGAGCAGCAGATGTGGTCGAACTGGTGCGTCCCCTTCGTGCTACAGCTGATGGAGGCCAAGGACATGAACTGCCTGTTCAACGCGACCGACGATGACGACCACTGCGACTACAAGAAGCAGCTCGCGGAGGAGGTGTGCTACACTGCTTGGGGCCGCAGCGCCTCCCTCCGCGAGGTCTTGCGCGCCAAGATCCGCGAGCGAAGGCAACAAGGCCAAGAACTCACCGATGACCAGCAACGCATGGCCAGGACCTTCCTCAGACTCAGCGGCACGGGCAGCCCAGAGTCCCAGCCGCTGGTCCTCCACAGCAGCGAAGGCCAGCATGACGAAAGCGGAGGCGACGGCAGAGTCAAGATTGGCTCGGCCGAGGCCGTGGCGTTGCTCTTGGCTGCGGCAGCAGCTCGGCCCAGCCCCCGCGAGGACGAGGCACGCAGCGCTGGCGACGACCGACCAGCTGCGCCAAGACCACCCGTTGAACAGGTCAAGATCTGCCGCGACGACTGGAAGCACCGCCTGGAGGAGCAGATCAACCACGCGACCCAGCCAGCGGCAGCCGCGGCAGCAGGTGCAGACGCCAGAGGAGGCGCGGAGCAGCAGACGCGCGCGGCGCGGCGGACGCGGCAGCGGCCAGGAGCGGACGAGGTGCAGCAGGCCGCCAAGGTGGCCCGCGCCACACCTGCCGCATGAGAAGGAGGCCAGCAGCCCTCCATCCGCCTCCTCCTGGGCTAGTGGACAGCCCAGCTGCGCGCGCCGCAGAACGGCTGCGCGCCATGCCCCGCTCAGCACGCTGGGGCAAGGCGGAGGGGCGGGCCACCAGCTCGGCTCGCGAGCCACGCCGAGCGGCGCAGGCAGCCGCGCCGCGGGCGCTGAGCGCCGGCGGCTGAGTGCACGCGGGCGGGGGCGCGGGACGTCCGCGCGCCGCTCGCCGCACGCGGGCGCGGGACGCGCCCGCCTCAGGTGGGGGGGCGCCGCGGGCGCCCCCCCCACCTCAAGAGACGTCCCAAGAGACGTCCCCTCCTCCTCCTCCTCCTCCTCCTCCTCCTCCTCCTCCTCCACCTCCTCCTCCTCCTCCTCCCCGCGTTCGCGGGGTCCACGTTCGCAGGGTGTGCGACGCGCTCCAGCCGCGCCTGGTGCGCCGCGTGTGCGGCGCGCGCAGGCTGTGCCGTGTGCGCCAGTGCACGTGGCAGCTCGCACCGAGGAGCCCATGGGCCCCCCCACCGCCCTCGCCGAAGGCCATGGCGGAGCGGCCGCGGGGTGGTCAGCATATGGTGTGCGGTGCGTGAGAGAGCAGGGGCTGCACTGGGTTCCGGCAGGGTCGGCAGGCCCGCACGCACGGCGCAGAATGCAAAGGCCCCCATGCAGCGGAGTGCTCTGCGGGGGCGCGAAGCCCCGTGGTCCCCCATGGAGAGTTTCCAGACGGATCTCGTGTGCTTCTTCTCATCGCGCGTTTTGTCGACGTTTGCTGATGTTGTCAACTGAAGGTTCTCCGGTGCAGCTTCCAGGCGAAACGACGTACCATTTCAACAGTTTTTCTCCTCTTCGGATGAGCCTTTTGATTTGTCACACATTGCTAATGGGGTGGGCACGTCTCTGGCTATGGGAAATTTCGGCCGTACTGGAAGGCCTTCTGGCCTGCGGCTCGGAGGCGCATTGGGGTCTCAGTGGCGCCACTTGGGGCTTTTGTGGTGGCTGTTGGGTGCATCTTGAGGCAAAGCTGGGCACCTTTGGCGGCGTTGAGCGTCGTTGGAGCCGCAGAGAGCTCTGAGAGACTCGGGGGACCTTCGGGTTGCCCAGGGGGCCTCAGGTGGGGAATGTCTGCGAGTAAGCGTGGGGAGAGGGGGCGGATTCTTTGAGCAGACGTACAAAACTCTACCAGACCACATTTGCCACTCCGTCAGGCTCGACGTGCCAAGGGACACGGCGGCGGGCAGCGGATTATGCAGGCGCGTGGTCGAGCACGCGTGCTCGTCTGGTTGGCCGGCTACTTGAGCACATCGGATCGGGGAGGCCGTGCCCAAGCTCGTGGGCGTGATTGCCGAGCACTTGGGCATCGAGACCGGGTCTGCGGACCACATGCCTCTTCTTTGTGTAAAACAGGGCTAGGATCGGGATAAATCGCTCCAGAGCGTTCCGGAGCGCTCTCAGAGCGTTCCGGAACGCTCTGGAGCGGCCGCGGCGCCAAATACATCCCCCAAACCCGCCGATTCTCAGAGATTTCGAGTTATCCCGATCCGATTTTGTCCAGATCTTCGCGTCGTTTTATGTGTTGAGCTTGTGGATTGGCTCTGAGGTCGTTGGTCGGGGCGCGAAGATATGGCGCTTCGCCTCCGGGGTGGCAGCGCGCCGCCGCGAAGGCATTCGAGCCTCGCGCTTCACGCGTCGCGACGTGGGCAGCTCGGTGGCGCAGGTGGCCTGGGCGTGGTTTACCAGCCTCGAACGTATCCCTATCCCTAAGATTAACATGCCAAAAGACGATGACAATCTTAGGGATTCGTTTTGAAAAACTAAGAGAATCCCTAAGATTGGCATCGTGACGAGTGACGAGGGTGCCCAGCATAGGAATAGAAATATGTTCCAGGCTGGTAAGTGGTCATATCCCCAAATGCCGCAGCTGAGGTCCCGAGTCTTTGAGCTGGGGCAGGCCTTGGCAGCCAGCGCCAGAGTCGTCGCGCGCAGGGGTCGGGGTGGTGAGGGCCGGCGTCAGGGTTGGGGAACCACCCCAGGTGTACACCAGGAGGAGGAGGAGGAGGAGGAGGAGGAGGTGGAGGAGGAGGAGGAGGAGGAGAGGAGGTCATCCTCTCCACCTCCGCTGTACAGCGAGGAGCAGGAGGAGGAGGAGGAGGAGGAGGAGGCGGAGGAGGAGGAGGAGGAGTAGGAACGAGTTCGGGATTTGGGGAATGAGCGGGAGGAGGAAAGGGTTGAGCGGGGTAGAGCCACCCGGTGCTTTGGTGCCGGTAGCCGAAGCGTTCGATGGGCCCCGTTGCGTTCGCTGGCTGGGAGTGTTCAGTGCTGCGTGTGGTATTACTATTTTGCAGTGACCCACGTCGTTTCTGCTCGTCCGTTTTCCTCCCCGGCACCCCTTTCTGGGCCCCTCCAACTCCCCCCTCGCCCTTCTTCATGCCCCTCCGTCTGTCTCTCCCTCTCTGTTCTGTGTCGTTCTGTCTCTCTCTCTCTCTCTTTCTCCCTCTCTTTTTGTTTTTGTCTCTCTCTCTCTCTCTCTTTCTTTCTCTCTTTCTCTCTCTCTCTCTTCTTGTTGTTTCTCTCTCCCTCTCTTTTTGTTGTTTCTCTCTCTCTCTCTCTTCTGTCTCTTCTTTGCATCTTTGCTCCCTGGCCTTTGTTTCCCGTTCCCTCCCTCCGCCCTCCGTCCTCCCCCCTTTCCCCGTTCCCTGCCCCTCCCCCTCCCGTCTGTCTTCCTTTTATTGATCGTCCGACTGGTTGTCCAACGAAGTCTGGGATAGGTACGGTGGCATTCAATATCGCCTCGCATTTGACAGCCACGATCAGCTGGACACGTTTCCTCCCCGAATTCCTGCGGCCGCTCCCGCCTTCTCTCCTGTCCGCTGTGTTTTCCCTTTGTCAGGATCAGGCCGATTTGGATTCCTCGCTGGAGAAGGCGCGCATTTCATTCTTTGATTTTCTGCGGATGAGGAGGGGGGAGAGAGCTGAAGAGCAAGAGGATGAGTTTGTTGTTCTCTTTTGGTGGGGGGTAGGGGTGTCGGAGCAGTGCTTTTGACATGACACGCTGCAGAGGTAATGCTAACGGGTGGTTGAACATATTTTCTATTCGTAGAATGAGTCGGCTCCACCGACACCGATGGGCAGAACACAGCATGATGGGAAATCGTGGATGGCCCGCTGGTGTATGAGACGATGGGGTGTACATTTCTCGCCTCCGTGAAACATGGACGCGTTGCCTTGATCAAGGAAGTAGCAATACGCAGTGGAAGAGAGAGGGGTTCCAATCTATATGTATGTATATATATATATATATATATATATATAATCCGGGGTCGAGGGTTCACATGCCTCCCCCCCAGATGGGATGGGTCCCAAGGTTCCACAGGCCCCCCCCAGATGGAATGCGGAGGGACGGCGACGACGACGCCGACGCCGATGCCGATGTCGACGCCGACGCCGACGCTGAAGCCGACGCGGACGCCGACGCCGACGACGCGACGACGACGCCGACGCCAACGCCGACGCCGACGCCGACGCCGACGCCGACGCCGACGGACGACGATGACGACGACGACGAGGATGACGACGACGGCGACGACGACAACGACGGACGACTACGACGACGACGACGATGACGAGCCACACCACACCCACAGAGGGAGGGCGGGCCGGTGCACCAGCACCCTCCACCACGCTGCGCCCACAGGGCCACGACCACAGGGTGGGTGGGTGGAGCGATCCCATTCGCGCAGCCTTCGCGAGGCTCACGGGCGCACCCATCCAGCCCAGGAAGGGGGCTCGATCCCATTTGGGGGTCAATCCTGGATCATAAGTGCCTTCGCGGCACTGTCAAATGAGAAGGACAAGAAGGAAAGGGGATGACGAGGAGTAGCAGGGGGAGGAGGATGAAGATGATGATGATGATGATGATGATGATGATGATGATGATGATGATGATGATGATGATGATGATGATGATGATGATGATGATGATGATGATGATGATGATGATGATGATGATGATGATGATGATGATGATGATGATGATGATGATGATGATGATGATGATGATGATGATGATGATGATGATGATGATGATGATGATGATGATGATGATGATGATGATGATGATGATGATGATGATGATGATGATGTGTTTGTTGTTGTTGTTGTTGTTGTTGTTGTTGTTGTTGTTGTTGTTGTTGTTGTTGTTGTTGTTGTTGTTGTTGTTGTTCGTGGTTTTTTTCTTCATTAGTTTGCCGATCGGCGCGACCTCCCAAACCCTCCCTTCCCCCCCCACACGAAGTAGATCTCGGCTGTTCTCTGGCGCCTGTCTCGAGCAGGTGGGGCCCCTCCCCACATCGGACGCCCTGCTGCACACGGCCGCACTCCAGCCGAGGCCCGGAGAGCCAGACCTCCGCCCCCCCCATCCCCCGCTCCCGCCAGTGGCGGAGCGCCGAACACGAAAACAGCCCTCACGAGAACTTTCTCGGTCCTCGATCCTCGCTCCCAGACCCCCTCGCGTCGTGGGCCCCCCCCCCTCAAAAAAAAAATGACGGCGGCAGGTTTCTGTCGCCAGTCGTTTGCCCTCTGCGGGCCCCGCGTCACCGGGCCAGGATGGTGAAGCAACGGCTCAGGAAGACAAACCGGTCACGGGGAAGTGGTCGGGAGTTCCAGGGATTGGGATTTCTCCGAAGCGCTTAGGCGACCCGTCCTCCTCCTCCTCCTTCTCCTCCTCCTCTTCCCTCCTCCTCCTCCATCTCCCCCTCCCCCCCTCCCCCTCCTCCACCTCCTCCACCTCCTCCTCCACCTCCTCCTCCTCCTCCTCGGGTCACCTACGGCCCCTGGGGGAACCGTGCACCAGGGACCCCGTAATGAAAACAAATCAGGACATCGAATGGTTGGGGAGCTCTCCCGAAGAGCCCGAAGAGGCTCGCAGTCTCGAGCCCGTCGTCCAGGATCTTTCCCTCGCTCCCTCCTTCTCCCTCTCACCTCACCTGTCCTCCCTCTCCTCCATCTCCTTGCTCACCTTCCCTTCCTCTGCTCCCTTTCCTCTCTTTACCGCCCCTCCTTTCTCTCCTCTCTCCCTCCACTCTTCCATCCCCTGCGCTCCCCTCCGCTTCTCTTTCCTTTTACCCCTCCCCTCCCCTTCTCCCCCCTCCACTGCCTCCCCTTCTGTCCTTCCCCTCCCCTCCACCCTCTCTCCCTAGATCCTAGATCCAGTCCGAGCGGGGCCAGTTTTCTCCCGCATGTGTTTATCAATCTGGTTTTAAACTGTGATCTGCACCATGATTTGTTTCATTTGGAACGTTTCCGATCAAGCTATGTTCCCGCTGCAGCGTGGGCCTCATTTTCGGATCGACGCTTGGCTCCAGTCGTTCAGAATGGCGCTATCGCCCCCGCGCGTGCCACCATTCTGGATCCGAGTCCTTCCTTGTTGCTGTCAGCCCGTTCCTTTCCCCTCCCCTCGCTTCCCCTGGTCCTCCTGCACCTCTCGCTCCTTGTACTTTTAACCGTGCTGCTGCTGCTGCTCCTCCTGGTCCTCCTCCATCACCCGCATCCTCTTCCTTCTGCTCATCCTCTTGCTCATCCGGCACCCCTCCTCCGTCTCCAACCTACTAAGCTCCCCCTTCCTGATTGCGCATGATACGAGTTGGGTCCCTTTGGGGGTTGCACATCCGCTATGACACCCATCGGCGGATAGTGCAAGGATGGTTGGCAGGGCGAGGATGTTTGGAGGGGACGGATGTCAAGGGGAAGGGATAGTTGGGAGGGCAAGGATGTCGGATATGGCGCGAGGGCACTTGGTTTGCCTTCACTCCCTCTCCTCCCTCCAGTCCCCCCCGAGCCTGTGTCCCACTTGGCGAGGAGCTCACCGAGTTCCTCGAGAACTCCAGGCTCTCGAAGTACCTGGACGACGCCCTGAAGTGGTGCGACGAGCAGGGTGCGGCGTCCATCGAAGATATCGTGGAAAACCCAGAGGCAGCCCATGGAGGGGACGGAGGAGGGAGGAGGAGCAGGTGGGGGGGAAGAACAGGATGATCATGAGGTTCAGGGGGGGAGAAGGAGGTTCAGGAGGGTGAGGATGAGGTGCCGGGGTGAGGAAGAGGGGGGTGGTTGTGGGGGTGATGATGATGATGATGATGATGATGATGATGATGATGATGATGATGATGATGATGATGACGATGATGATGTTGATGCTGATGCTGATGATGACGCTGATGATGCTGATGATGATGATGTTGATGATGAGGATGAGGATGAGGATGAGGATGATGATGAGGAGGAGGATGATGATGCAGATGATGCTGATTATGATGATGACGATGTTGTTGCTGCTGATGATCTTGTTGTTGATGATGATGTTGGTGCTGATGGTGTTGATGATGCTGCTAATGATGATGCTGCTGATGATGATGCTGCTGATGATGACGATGATGATGATTATGATGATGCTGATGATGATGATGATGATGATGATGATGAGGAGGAGGAGGAGGAGGAGGAGGAGGAGGAGGAGGGGGAGGAGGATGGTCGGGAAGAGGAGGTTCATGAGAAAAGGAGCAGGCGGATGTTCTGGATATGCGGGGGATGGGGACAGTGGAGGGGGAACGTGTTGTGCCATGACTGGAGTTCGAGGACAATCAGGAAGAGGGGGTGGAGGAGGCGGAGGAGGAGGAATACTGACAAGGGAGGATGGATGTCTGGGGCTTTCTAATTGCGACGTGCTTGGAAATGGGGGGAAAGTCAGCGGGGACGGGGGCGTTGAGGGGATAGTCACAATTCATTACGGCTGTTCCTTGCCAGTTTAACCCATTGCTTCGCCCACCTTCCCAAGTGAGCTGCAGCTTGTTTTTCGTGGCAGCGATTTCCTTGTGTTGGTGTAGCGGCCTTCTGTCCATCCGGCCGCCGTGCCTGGGTCGTGGACAAGAGGCCTCTCAGAGGCCTCTTGGCGTCTCTTGGGAGGCCTCTCAGTAGCCTCTCTTGGAGGTTTCCATGGCACATTGACCCCCCCCGCCCCCCCGCCGCCCATTGTTTTTTCGACAGCGTCGACCCCTGCAGGTCTCGACCCACTCCCTGCGAGCCAGGGCCAGACCCAAACGCTGTTTTGCTGGATTTCGGCCGTGTTTTGTTGTCTCGTCCTGGCAGGGAGGTACAGGAAGCAAGGGAGAGCGAAGCGAACCACAAAACGACACCAGAACGAGAAGCAGCGCTGAGGTCCAGCCCTGCTTGACGGCGCCGACCCCCGCAGGTCTCGACCCCTTCCCTGGCGAGCAGCTCCTCGCCCTGCGTCGTCTCCTGACGGCCCACGGGGGGGCCCCCTCGCTGGCCCCCCACACTCGGGGGCGGAAAAGAGGGGGGTGATGACTAGGGGGGGGGGATATCATGGCGGGGGGCATGATATTTCCCCAGATCTCGTGGCGCCTCTTCTTATTTCATTACGTCCCTGGCCCCCCCACTGGGCCGCGCACATGCCGCCGGTCATGATTTTCACCCCCCCCTCTTGGCCGCTCCCGACACACGGCCTCCCGCCGTGATCTTCCTGCCACCACGGCCGGGGGTTCTCCGGCCGACCCCCCGAGGACTTCGTCGAGGCCATGGGCTTCAAGCCGCTGGAGAGGAAGCGCTTCGACAAGGCCTGCGCGCTGGCCAGCGAGTGAGGCCGGCTGTGTGTGTGTGTTTTTTCGGTCGTGCCGCTGCGACCCCCCGCGGGCGCGCCGCTCCCCCCTCGCCTCGCTTCAGGAGGGGGGAAAAAACAGACACAATTCATTGTCGACTTCCAGGAAAATATGGGAAAACATGGGAAGTGGGGAGGGGAAGACAGAAACCCTGAAAACATGGGGACACATCGGGAATCCTGTTATTTGTGCGTACTTATTTGTGTGTCCTGGGGCCCCTTTATCGCTGTGGGGCAGCGCGAGGGCGGGAGCGGGAGGCTCAGGAGGGAAAACAAACACACACACAGACACAATCGATCGTCCCCAGGAAATATTGGAAAGTATGGGAAGTGGGGGGGAAAACAAAAACCCAGAACATATGGAACATTTTTTGATTTCGTAAATAAGTGCATTCATTTGTGTGTCCTGGGGCCCCCTCAGAGGAGACAGTGCCCTTTGTCCCAGCCGAGAGTTCAGGGGCAACGTTTCGGGGGGTGGAGGAGCGCTTCGCCAAGGTTTCGCTTCGCCCGGTCCGCTTCGCCGGGTTCGCTTCGCCCAACGGTCGCTTCGCCCGGGTTTTGCTTCGCCCGGGTTTCGCTTCGCCGGGGTTCGCTTCGCCCGGGTTTTGCTTCGCCCGGGTTTCGCTTCGCCGGGGTTTGCTTCGCCCGGGTTTTGCTTCGCCCGGGTTTTGCTTCGCCTGGATCGCTTTGCCCAGAGTTGAGAAAGGTATACCACTGTTGCCCTACTGGGGCCCTGAAGGTGCCCAACGTATTGCTCCCACCATTAACTCACCACTCACCAAACCACCCCAACCCAACCCGAAGGCGTCAATTCACCCTCGATTTCTAGTGGGGGGGGGGGTCCGGGAACATAGAAAAAACACATGTGGAGCCCATACCCCCCCCCCAACCCGAAGTTCGGGTCTCCGGGTTGGGTTGGGGTGGTCTGGTAGGAAGTCAACCATGAAGCAATGCAGCAAAGTTGGGAAGGGGATGGGCTCGCACCGGCCCCCAATCGCCCATGGATGGCCGATAGTGACTGGTGGCCCCATCCCGCCCAGGAACTTGCGGACTCGCCATTGGCGGGTCTATCGGGCCGGACGAAAGGGGGGGTTTGGGAAAGGGGGGGGTGCGAAATCTGCTGCATGCAGCTGGTTTCGGCCCCACCGAGGGGCTCATTCCTCGATACATATAGGCGCCTCCGGCGCCGGGAGGCGCCGGGAAAATCAGCTAGGTGAGCTGATTCTCCCCCCCCCCCTTTGCTATCCCCCCCTTTCGCCCGACCCGAGTCTAATGTAGGATGACGATGAGTTAATGACCGGGGGTCGTGTTGCGTCGGCGGCGCCCCGGAGGACGATTTGAAAAAACTGGCCGCGGGCTGCGAAACTTTTTTTGCAATCGTTCCCCCCTGCCGTGCTCGAGCGCGCGCGTGAAGCCGACGTAGAATGGTCGGTTTACGTAAAATCTGAAGCCGACGTGAAGTTGAGTTTCTATTGTAAAACTTAAATTCGACGTGGATTGTGGTTTTGACGTGACATTTGAATCCGACGTCAAATGAGCATTAGACATAATGTCTGAAGCCGACGTCGAACGAGTATTTGATATAAAAGTTTGAAACCGACATATAATTGGCATTTGACAGTAAAATTTGAAGTCGACGTCGAATAATTATTTAACGTAGAATTTGACGACGACGTGAAATGAGTATTCGACGCAAGATTCGAAGCCGACGTGCAATAGACATTGTTTAGTCGTCCTCCTCCGGTTGAAACATCATATAGAAATCGAAGAAACTATGTTTTTAATCGTTCCCCTTATTTTTTCCCCTACCTAGGCTCTGCCTTGAAGGGTTCCTACTCGGAGGCTTAAAGGGCCGGGCAGTGGGGCTCGCCCCGCGCGGTTCCCCCGGCATCCGCCCCGCGGTTCCCCCAGTGACGTTCCCTTAGCTTCGCGTTGTTTATCTCATCTTAGCTTAGCTTATTTCATCTTACCTTAGCTTAGTTTCATCTTACCTCAGTTTATCTTAGCTTAGCTCACCTTCATGTCAGTTTATCTTACCTTATCTTAGCTTCATCTTACCTATAGACCTATACATCTATACATCTATACATGCATACATACAGACATGCATACATACATACGTACGTAATATCATACACGTACGTACATGATAATGCTTATGCACCACCTTCTTCGCACCGGTCGGTTCCCCCGGCAGTGGAAAACGCCCCGGGCGGTTCCAGCATCGACATCTTATTCCATCTTAGCTTAGCTTCATCTTAGCTTAGCCTAGCTTCATATAGGTGTTAGATGTTGCTTTCCTAGATCCTCCAACTCCTAGGTAGGGTCGCACTGGGATAGTTATTCATCGCCATCCTGCATTATCGGTGATGGTCGCCGATTCCTGGTCGATGTTCCCCCCCTGTGCCAGTCTCCCCCGGTCGTTGCCCCTCAAAACTGGGCGTGACCAGAGGGGGAGCGGGGAAGGGGCCGGTCAAGTCACGATTCGCGCCAGCGCCGTTTGGGAACACCCAGCGCCGGCGCGAGTCGTGACGTGACCGGAGGGGGGGGGGGCGGAAGGGGAAGGGGGGGCGGCGAGGCCCGTCACGGGCGCTATCGCGAATCACTTACAGGCGGGATCGAGCAGGAGCAGGAAGCGAACGATGGGTAAGCCGCCTTGTCTGGTTGAGATAACCTCGAAAGGACTTTTGTTTTGACCCCCCCTTTTAGCTCGGAGGTGAGTCGAACTGGTCCTAAAGCATCCTCCTCCTTGTACCACCTTTACTACTACTACTACTTCTACTACTGCTACTACTACTACTACTACTACTACTACTACTACTACTACTACTACTACTACTACTACTAGTACTACTACGATTACTACAACGACGACTACTACTACTACTACTACTACTATTTCAAATTCTACTACTACGATTACTACGACTACTACTACTACTACTACTACTACTACTACTACCGCTACTTTTACTAGTATTACTACGACTACTGATGCTACTACGACCCGCCGGGGAGCCCATAACATACCCCTACGCTTATATACATATGTGCATATATATATATATATGGACACATACATACATATATGCGTGTGTGTATATATATATGTACACATGCGCATGTCTGTATGTAAACACATGCATATACCTTTATTTTTCGTATATATATACTGTATGTAGATGTATGTACCCTTACCAGTGTTGCTTATATGTAGTTATAAATGTGTGTGTCTTTACGTATGTGTATACATCCTCTGCATGCTTGCATGCATATACACACATACATACATACATACATACGTACATACATACATACTACTACTAATAATGATACTTGCACATTAGAGCAGGATTCAACAACTTTCACACTACAGCACTACACAGCACACTATAACATTATACAGCACGATTCAGCACCTTACACACTACAGTACACACAACACTTACTACACATACAACACACACATCGCATATTACATATGCAGCACACATACTACAAGTACAGCACACACATACAGCAAACACACACCATACACATACAGCACACGCACCATGCACATGCAGCGCACCGACTACCACGATCTCAGCCACTACAACGACAACGCGTCCACATCAGGGGCCTGTTATGGACTCCCCGCGTACTGCCACTACTACTACTACTACTACTACTCCTACTACTACTACTACTACTACTACTACTTCTACTACTACTACTACTACTACTGCTACTACTATTACTACTACTACCACCACTACTACTACTACTACTACTACTACTACTGGAGGTTTCGTATGCGTATCTCCACCCATGCAGGCACACCCCTCACACGCTTCGCGGCCGCACAGGGAGCTCCATCGAAGCCTCCAGGAGGGGGTGTTGCACGGTTATCCACTCATTTCGGCACACCCACACACACACGCACGCACGCACGCATGCACGCACGCACACAGACACACACACACACACACCACACACACATACACACCCACACCCAAACACGCGCACGCACGAACGCACGCACACGCACGCACGCACGCACGCACACACCCACACCCACACCCACACCCACACCCACACCCACACAACACACAATACACAAGTCACAACACACAACCCGCAACACACAACACACACCGCACAACACCCCACACACCACACAACACACAACACACAGCACACAACACTCACCACACCCCACACCCCACACACCACACAACACACCCCACACCCCACACCCCACACCCCACACCCCACACCCCACACCCCACTCCCCACTCCCCACACCCCACACCCTACATCACACACCACACACCACACACCACACACCACACACTACACACTACACACCACACCCCACACCCCACAACCCACACACCACACACCACACACCACACACCACACGCCACACACCACACACCACACACCACACACCACACACCACACACCACACACCACACACCGCACACCGCAGACCGCACACCGCACACCGCACACCGCACACCACACAACACACCACACACCACACACCACACACCACACACCACACACCACACACCACACACCACACACCACACACCACACACCACACACCACACATCAAACTCCACACACCACACACCACACAACACACTCCGCACACAAACACACACACACACACGTTTCGTGGCCCCACAGGGGCTACATCGAAGGGCCACCGAAGTCCTGAGGAGGTGGTTTCGCACACGCTTCGTGGCCCCACCGCAAATTCTTGTGGCAGGGTCTGCATGCGTCCCCGTGCCCATGTTGGCGCACCCTCACACGCCTCGTGGCCCGATGGGAATTCCACCGAAAGCGACGATACCCACAACGCGGCCCTCGCAACTGCATGGTTGCGTCCCTGATTGGGAGGAGGAGGAGGAGGAGGAGGAGGAGGAGGAGGAGGAGGAGGAGGAGGAAGAAGACCATGAGGAGCCTTCTCCTCCTCCTCTTCCTTTTTCTCCT